CACATGTATCACCAGGGTTCTCTAGGCACTCGGGTGGCAGAGCGCCATCAATGTGGTCATCCTCATCGTCGGTCTCCTCACTAGAGATTCGCTGAAGTCGGTTGTTGTTTGCTGTTTGTTCGGTTGAGGTCTGGCCTTCAGTTGTTGTCTTGGGTGCATCCTTTGGCTTCTCGGACTCGGGTACAACAGCTGTGGCGGTAATTTCGGGTGCCGATGTTTCGGTGGCATTGCTTACTCCTGTTGTCTCTCCCTGTCCATTCGTCTTTGGTACGGTGGTCGCCGGTTGCTCATCGGTTGAATCGCGTGCCTTTGCTGAAAAGTCTGGCACAATTCCATCCGCCTCTCGAATACTGTTAGGTCGAGTAGGAGGTGCAGAAACGCCACCAGTTGTGGGAAGACCCTCCTTTGCGCGATCGGAAACCCATGTTTTGTACTTCATCATCGGAAACTTGTCGTTGACTTCGTCCATCGTCATCAACTTCTTCTCACGGCGTCTGCGATGAGGTCGAGGCATGTTTTCAAGAGTAATAGGCTCGCCATCTTCGTTCATTCGCATTTGTCGATTTCGAGCGTTATAACGGAAGCAGTATTTAACACCAACGATAATCCTGAGATAGTTTGTTAGAGCCTTTTCAAGATATGGCCCAGCCATCGCCATTGGACGAGGTTGGATATGAATGCGTAAGCCAAGTCTCACCATAAGTTTGTAAAGACAACACCGAAACCTAAAGCAACAAAAAAGAGAAGAGGCGAGTTCGACCCGCCTCCGTTGTCTTTCTTCCCATTTCCGCTGTCTGTCGTCTCGGCAGCTGCGTGAGAGGTCGTAGACGAGGGATCTTCAGCGGCAGCAGCGCGAATGACGACATGGGTGACCTCGGTCAGAATTTGATTAACGGCGACCATGTTTGCTGTCGGGCAAATGCCAGAATAAATGCTGAGCAATGTGAGGCTGGCTCGAATTAACTCGCGGGCTTCCGTGCGGGTACCATGGACCGTTCAAGAACAAACGCTCGCGGATGCAGGGCGGCAAATAATGCACGGGCAAAGGCAATTAAAGTTAATAATTGCCAACCCTCGGTAATCGCCCTCTGAATGTAGAAAATGCGATGTCTGTGATTTGAATCTCCCTTTCTTCACGGAAGAAGGAGAAGATACTCGACTTGAAGCGAGTAGTTGATGAGGTGAGAATAGCCGGGAGGGCGAAGGTGGAGTGGCAGAACAGGCAAGGCAAGGCAAAGCAAGAGAAGAGACAGATCCAACGGCAGGTGCGAAGGTGGCCGCGTAAAGGATAAAAAGAGAAGGAAGGAGCCCAAAGGAATGGGGGACGGGGCGAGCGAAACCGGGCCGGGGGACAGCGACAGATCGTGATTGGCTGTGCGTATCTAGCGGGTGGAGCCTAAGCCGTGAGTGGCACTGTGAGCCGGTACCTCTATAGTTGCAAAACTTAGACCACTTTGAGGGCTAGAGGCTAACAAGACACGGCGCAGGCTGGAGAAATCCTGGAGAGGCCCTGGCTACTGCTCTGTTCTGGAGCTAGTGGAGGTGGAGTGGTCCTGCTGAAAGAGTGAGGTCGCTGCCGATTCCAATTGGAGTAGAGGACTTGACAGGGGGATTCAGCGGGTGGAACTGACGGGGGGTGATTTGTCTGTGGCTGGAACGACGATCGAGTGAGTTGGTGTGCTGAGTTTTGAGTGCGAGGTTGGCGGTTTGGGGGTGATGGGGGGAGGTGGTTGGTCGGAAAGATTATCCGTTTAGAGGATTACGAGACGTTTGATAGATATCGCGAGTAATTGTTTGAGTTACAGATCCTTAAGAGAAGTGAATTAAATGAGCATAGGCTTTGTCTGAATCAAGATGTGCGACAAATTGATCAGATGGACGAGGTAGGTCTTTAGATAACCACGAGACAATAAGTAGATGGCGTGTCAAAGCTCAAAAATCATAGGGATACCGTCATTTAATAGGAACTTTGTATCTGACATCATGATCGATGGAACTATAAGGGTCCAGAGTTCAACGGAGGCATCCGTTTAACCTTCCCTTGCTGCATTTACAATACAATAAGCGGTTTTGTTGCGTATTCGCCGGCGTATTTAACGCATACGCTTGCTTCACTCTGTCGCTGATATCCGTGGCGCAGTCCGCGGGGGACGATGAGGATAGAAGCGTAGTGAGTGGATCACAGAGCGTCACTCAGTGGCACGGGGACTCTGACCAGGGTTTCCTTTGAGCTTTGAGGCTTTGTTCAGTTTGGGGGAATCTTGATTAGATTTTCCTTGTCTTGAATGAGACAGGGCAACTTTCTGAGACGGGATGAACTAGATTAACCATTACCAAGAGTCTGGAAGCCTGGTTACATTTGACAGATCCGACTCACGTTACGGTTTCACTTTAAGCATCCTGTCAGCTCTACTCAAGTCTAAATGAACTCCAGATGCAGTCATCTCCCTATAGTTCACTGTTTATAACAATTTCAACAGTTATCAAATCTTAAACTTTGCCACAGTAACATGCCGTTCGCAACTTTCCGAGTCGCCGGTTTGCGCCGTTGAAGCGTTATCTGATGATGAAAGTGTATTGGGTACTAACTCTGGCCGCTCAGAAGGCTTTGTTTATTTATTCATCCTTTTTCGCTTGCTTTTAGAGGCCCAAAACCTTGGCCGGATATCGACAAGCATCACAGCGCTTCCCACCGAAACGGCTCCACTTGTTGCCGACTCAATTCGTCTCAGCCCGGCCCGCATCACGGAGCTCCTTGTTTCTGAGCCGCTCCACTAAGATCGCCATCGGCAAAAAGAAGGATAGTAATTAATGCGAAAATGTTTAAAGAAATCGCTCTTTGAAGGTTTCTAGGTAAAACAAGGGGAGGGAGGGGGCAAAGTTGACAGCTGATGATGTTGAGACTGTCAGCTGTGGCCTCGGCCTACTCGTGGTTGGTCTAGACAAGCGGCACAGCTCAGCCGTTCACATACGATAAGTAGGGGACGCGTTCAACATCTTGGCTTCACTGTGGCTGAAAGTGCACATAGAGTTCATGTGCCTGCGTATTGATGGTGAAAATACGCTGTGGCCCTATGCATATGCCCATGTTTCACGGTGAATCCGGTAACGTCCATTCTCCTGTAGCTTATCCTCATGGAAAAACAACAACTCAATTCGAACGGCGATGTTCCTGCAGTAGAGCAGTGTCATTGTACGACACAACCCTCGATCGAATGGCTCTCATGCAATCGTCAACCCATCACAGGCCTCCAACCAATGCAGGCCTCGGGTGACAGCTGTCTCAAGACTGGGGATACGACAATCTTTAAACAAACAACAGAATATCAAAACAAGGCAGTTTGATAATACGACAAGACTTATTGAAGCAACCTCCAGCGATGCTGAAACACTCAAGATGCACAACACCACGAGAGACAGTCGATATGTACACTACAGTGCATCAAGTTAAGCTCTCACACGGCTCCCTAGCGTCGATTTGACTTGGTGTGGGTTGTGCTTTTGGGATGGTCTTACAGGGATAATGTGCTGCACCCCGTCCTCTCTGGCGGGTCTTGGCTTACTGGCTATCGTCTTGGCTTGTGGCGATTGGATCCTAAATGCCTCGCTGTGATGCATTAACGCTCTGACAGGAAGAAAGGTCAGTGGGGTTTGAGCCTCAAACAACCGGAATCTGCGGGAGGCTCGGCTGCAACGGGTTCGTTGGTTTTTTTTACCTCAAATTTTAATCGCTGAAGAAGTGTTTCTTGTGTCCTCGTGCCTCATGCCTCGTCATGGTTTATCAGGTCATTGCTTTGTGTGTGTTCCGCGCTTCCCGGTAGTTGGTGCTTGATTCTTGATGGGGCTATGACGCAGTCACTGAAACGTCAAAAAATAGCCTCTCAAGACAGTTGTGAATGTCTTGTCATCTTGTCAGACACCAAAGCCAAAGCCAAAGATCCACGTAAGATCTTCGCTGGTTAACGTTACTTGCTAAAACCCGGAAGTCTACAGCATCAGAGGAGAATCAACTACCGAGATGGGGGGATGTCGTCGTCAAACACCAGGCTGTGCAGATATATCCCATGTAAATGCATTCAATGCTGTTAAGCTGAATTACAAATACCAGTCTATGATGTCTACACCATGAGGCTATGTTGTCTTGGCTCTCGATCTCAACATCGACTGCACAGCAATCGCCCTCACTGACATGCTTGTCAAATCATACTAATATGTTGAATACCTCCCGGTGAGCGTATCTCCAATCCTTTCCATTTGTGTCAAATCACGAATGGATGGACCCTGACTCTTGCTGCACGAGCATCATATGTCCTTAGTCAGACGTTTTGACGATCAGAACATTCCCATCTGTTTGGCTTGTTCGGAAGCTTCTGACGAGATGCACACTAAATTACATGTGCTTTGACGAATCAGTGGTGACCCCAGGTAGACTTCAGCCATAGATCTTAGGGTAACGGCAAGGCCGTTACTGGCTTTTTAAGATCCTGAGTGATGTTTAGCTGAGAAATTCATACAGAAGTCTGAGTTGTGATACTCTGTGAGATTGTAAGAATCAGAGTGGAGGTATATGAATCAGGTAGACCATGCTGAACACCATAGAAGATCATTCAATTTGAAGTATCTCCATCGATCTATGAATCCATTGCACTACCCCTCAGCTGTCGTAACTCTTTCACTTGGCTTTGGCTCTGGCGTGCCCAGACGGCGTCGAATGGCTTCATAGACCTGAACCCCGGATGCCACCACCCCCGCTTTCCTTAGTTGATGGCCTGGTCGAGATGCATCATGGGGTACTTTAGCGGAGGGTGGTGTTAGATCTGGATCCGAAGCCAAAGACGTACGATACTCCCAAAAATGATTGATTTTGAAGCTTTGTTCTGTCTTGGTATTGGCCGTTGAAGTCTTGAAACAAATGTGAAGAATAGGTAGCCTGGAAATGATAGAGCAATTAATAGAAATTGAAAGAGCCTTGTTGAGCACCTTATCGTTCCTTCTCAAATTGATCAACCAATCATGAATCTCCAACTTTCCTCCACACTGCCTTCCTAATCGGGACCTTAGACAGCTCCACACTAAAACGCAGCAAGAAACAGCCCGCACGATTAACGCTGCATTTCACACCGTCTAAAACATCTTGACAAAAACATATAAACAACTTCGACTAATCACGCAATCCCTCAAAATGCCTCCTACAAAGCTTCCCGAGTCTGGAAACCCTCTGTAAGTCCTCTCAAACCTCTCAGAATAGAGTGGCGGTGCATTATACTTCTACCCTGGTGATTCGAGGTGGAGAGACGATGCACCTCGCAACGCAGTTTTGAGTCAGCTCCCCAATAGAAGAGGGTGTGTGTGGGCTGACCTTTGCCTGGTTGTTTATAGTGTCTTTCTTGACATTACTCTCGGAGGTTAGTCTTCCCGTGTGCGCTCCGAAGACGGAGCATATCACTGCCGAAAGTGAGGCTATTCCCAATGATCTGCGGAACAGGCTATGATGACCTTGTCAATATCATCGTTGACTATTGATACTCACTCAATGTTTTCCATTCAAGCTAACAATCCTAGGTGAGCCTCTTGGCCGCATCCAGATCGAACTCTTCAAGGATGTCGTACCAAAGACAGCTGAGAACTTCCGTCAGTTCTGCACCGGCGAGAGCAAGAATAGTGCCGGTCGTCCCCAGGGGTACAAGGGCTCCAAGTTCCACCGCATAGTTAGTTGCATATCTCTGATGCTGGGTACTATCTTGAACTGACTTGAGGGAACAGATCCCAAACTTCATGTGCCAAGGCGGTGACTTTCTCAATAACGATGGTTCAGGGTCGACCTGCATTTGGGGCTACAAGAACTTTGAGGACGAGAACTTCACTCTCAAACATGATCAGCCTGGCCTCCTATCCATGGCTGTACGTTCCACACTTCCTTGTTATATGAAGCTGCAACTGACAGATTTATAGAATGCTGGACCTAACACTAATGGGTCCCAATTCTTCATCACCACTGTTCCCACACCTTTCCTCGACAACAAGCATGTCGTCTTTGGCAAGGTCGTCGACGGCATGGACGTGGTAAAGAAGATGGAGGCTACCAAAACTGGCTATGCTGCCCCGGATAGGCCGAACCTCGACGTGGTCATCTCCCAGTGTGGTGAAATGTAAACGTTGATGGTGTTGCCGGCTTTGTGGAGTGTCTCTTGTTGGAAGACACAAGGAGATACGGGACTGTAAAACACGATCTGGTGCTGGGAAGACCGAGATCTGGATCAGTAGAGATACCCATCCCGAATACATATCTCGATGTGCCCCTTGCTCGGCGCTTTTTATGTCTGTGATTTGTTACACTCGTGTCTCTCGAGGTAAATTACATGCAGCTTGTATCACAAATCAAGGCTCGGCATCTGATATCATCCTCCCTATACCACAAGTTGGGTCTTGAGAATCCTATGATATTGAACGTGTAGGAGTTTGTGGACATCATTGCAAACTATTCGCCCTGGAACGGTTAGTCACACGACCAAGTTGACGGTATGATGGTGAGCCAGCTTCGAAATCTCCCAGAATGACTCTCACCACACCGTGCCAGAGTGACTACCGAGATGATCATATTACAATCTACGTTGAACACATTCACAAGCACAACAAACACGTTTCACGTTACTAAACACAGAAATCGATGCGAACTGTGTTGGAATTTTTATCTTAAACTCTGATTCCTTAGATTCCCGCGTATCCATCGCCCACCGGCAAAGCACCCAACCAAAAGCAAAATCATAACGCTGCATTAAATCATGTGTACATGCCGAAAGAAATTGGCCTACCTTCCCACTCTCCCCTTTCTCCAACGCCCATAGACGCTGAGAGAAAAGGGGGAGGTGAGAGGCGCGTAAAAATCAGATTGGTATCTATATATCCAACACCGTGAAATGCGACCGGCGCCCCTTTTTTGCTGTGTTGTAAACCCTATACCTGCATCTCCTGGAGATGAGGAACACGAAGCCGTCAATATATACTTAAGAGACGAAGGAAGGATGGAGAACCTTGACAGTATATATAATATGTCAAGGAGTGGGGTTATTGAGTAGCCTAAAAGTTTCCAAACACCCAGTTTTGGCGGCGGCGGAGGAATGGTGTGGGAATGGGAGGACCATCGCTTTGTGTTTGGGAGGGAGCGCCGCTCTTAGCGGAAGAAGGATCCTCGCGGAACTCGCCGCCAGGCATTGTGTGTTGAGGAGGAGCGTTGGCTTCTCCTGAGGAGGTTGGCGTGTTGATGTGTGTCACGATGGTCTTGATGACTGTGGAGGGCTGAGGTTGTTGCTGCTGGTCACCACCAGTAGGTTGTTCCTTGGGTCGGGTGGTGTATAGAGTCTCGTAGACAGTCGAAGCAGATGGTGGTGTAGGCACAGTATCGGATGGATGAGAAGTCTTGCTTCGCGTGACAAAGGCTGTTGTTGTGATGGTCTTGGTGCTGGGTCCTGCCTCTGTAGGCTCAGGCTCGGGTGCAGCAAGGGACTCAGCGGGCATGGTAACATAGACAGTGCTGATGATGGGAGAAGGCTTCACAGTTGCTGTGACGGTAACTGTAGCGACACCTTCACCATTGCCGGCACCTCCATCGGCGGGCGCGGTAGCAGTAGGCTTGGCAGTTGACGAAGGAATAGTATCATCACCCTTGTTGCCATCAACGTCGACTTGGAAGTTAGACTTCATCTGATCCTCGATACCAGCAGAGTAAATGTTCTGATTGTCGACCCATTCAAGAGATTGTAGGTTCTTGGCGGCGAATGGTTCGGCGTCGGGTCCAGTAATCTTGATGTCGATAACACTCGAGTAACTCTCGTTGCGGGCGATGGCATCCAGGGTGAAGCCATTGGGGTCCTTCTCACCGCGCATAAACGTACCAGCCCAAGGAAACTTGCCATTCTTGGTTGCCTCCATATTAATATTGTCCTTGTTCAGGTCGGGCCAGTCCCAGTACCAGTAGATGGTGTAGATGTCGCCGGCTTTGAGGTTGTCGGGTAGCTTGATGTCTGACTGGCATGCCAGTTCCTTGGTGGGGAGAGCGCCTTGAGGAGCGAGTTCGCTAGAGCGCTCAGTGCTGAGTTCACCAGGGTTTGGCTGATAGCACTGGCCATCGTCGTAGTTGCGCGTGGAGAGGAGCTTGCCGCGCTTGTCACCGCCTGTGCCTTGCTTGTTCCAGAGGAGATGGACGTCAAAGAGCTTCTCCTGTTCCTTGGGCTGGGTGGTGCCGTAGAAATAGATAGTGCCGCGGTTCCTGGGCTTGTTGGGCTGGTTGTGAGGAAGGGTAGTGTGTCCATTCTCAAGATGCATAATAGCAATGTAGTCGCCAGGGGCAGCCTCGAGCATGGGAAATTGAGGCTTCTTCTCAAGAGGGAACTTGTTGAGAATTTCCTCGCCAGAGTAAGCGGGCTGGCCTGCCTGAGGGAGAATGTTCTGGGGAATTGTGTCGGTAAAGGGAGGGTTCGTAGAGTCGCGAGGCACATATCCACGAGGATATCCTATATTCCCGAACATTGTGCCATTTCGAGCGAGCTTGAAGGCATACTCAACCCAGGAGTGAGCCAAGGCCGGAGAGATGAGTGTTGTACTCGCAAGAGCGAGACCAGAGGCCTGGAAGAATTTCATGCTAAATACTGATGTTGCGTAAATTTTTTGATGATTTTTGTTGTCGCAGTCTGCGAGTTGATCTTTGTTTTTCTTGTGTTGAAATAAAATTGAGATGATATTTCGAAAGGAGAGTTGACGAAGAGTGAACTCCGAGGGGGGAGAATGAATTCGTCGCGTTTTATGCACCAAGGAGCGGAAGAGAGGCAAAGCCCGTCACTATAGAATTTCCGCAGATGATGTTGTTATTGTTGATGAAAAAGGAACAATTGTTGTGTGCAAGCGAACAGTGAATAGGGCTTTGTGTGGTGTTAAATGGTTGACAGCTGGCGAACACTGGCAGAGTGTGAGCGGCCTTGGTTGGCAGGCAGCGAACGGTGACTGAACACTGGCCAATAACGAACACGCCAAACTGTTAACGAAGGCGTCTTAAACCTCTACAATCAATGGTGATTGTAGTCTATCTGACTTGTGGTGTATGTTGTTGAAAGACTGAGCGAGCGCCGGCGCAGGTAAAGTGTTGATGATTTGGTCAGTCCTGCTGAACCTCAAGTGAGAGAGGGGAACACAAGGAAAGAAACAAAGTATTTGTTCAATGAAAAAGAGAAGAGAGAAGAAGAAGAAGAGAGAGGTGACAAAGGAAAAAAAGAGAAAAGTTGTATACCGCTTGCTCTAGTTGAGCATCTTGGTGTTCGTGAATCACGAACAACAAAACGGGTGATGCGTGTCAATTGTGATCTGAGAGCGCAGGAGCTTATCGTCAGAGGCTCTGACAACCAAGAGAGCACGACAGCGAACGGATGGTATAGCTTGGATCGGATGGGAGGACGAGTGGTAATGAAGAGATTGCACGAGATATGGACAATCAAGAACACAAGCAAGTGGGGGGTGTTTCGTAGAACTCAAGTGAGGTAGACAGACACAAGTAATGCACGGCAATCAATGGGAGATGACAAGCAGGCACCCGAAGGACGAAACACTCTGTTCTTTTAGTCTGGAGAGAAACATGAGATCTGGGACGGGGGATGTGAGGCATTGTATATCCCCTGGTGAGTCCAGGACCTATCGTCAGGCAGCATTTTGCGGTCCAGGAAACTGGCCTCGTACAAATGGAGTCGAAACGGAGACGGGAAGAAGAGAGAGGTGCAGACATGCAAGGCACGATCAGGACAGGGGAGAAAGACGAGGCGCGGCTAAGAGCATGTCATTGTTGAGATGGCGTGGAGCTTGGCGTAGTATCAGCTAGTTCATCTCATCGTATCGCGCATATCTGATCGCGGCAGCCCATACATGGGCATAGTACAGCCACTATGGCGCGTTTAGACTGAGAAGTGAGCATAGAAACAAGAGTACCAAGATCATGTTCGTTGCAGTGTCGTCTGGGGAAGCGCTCAAGGGGGCACAGACTTGTCCCATGAACCACTCAATAGATCATGAGCTCTGTAGTCCAGGGCAAGGATTAGGATCCCAGGTTGAGAATAGTTGTTTCCCACGAAAGAGAAACGTTTCGAAACTGGGATCTTGATAGCCGCCTGAGTGGTCAAAGAGCATCATATCAATAGCTCAGGCAACGCGTCTGGGTCGAGACTCACAGCCCAACGGTGGTTGGCTATCCATGGAGACGGGACAGAATCTCAAAGCGAAAACAGGGATATAGTAGGTCTAGAATTCTCAAAATAATGCCTGCAATAAACCACTACCCGGATGATTTTAAGATAGAAAAAAATAGTATGAAACGTTTAGATGCGAAACCAATCGGTTGGATGTCGTTGCTCGGTTGGCGCCCACACAACGCGGGCGTCTAAGGAAATTAACTGGCAACGGTTGCAAGCGCGGCTGTACCTTTTCTTAGCGGCCAGGGACCAATTGGCTGTGGCTTGTGCTCTAGAAATGATCGATACAGGGATTTCTGACAGGGGCTGGTTCGCTGTAAATTTAGCAGAGGCGGTATTCTTGTCTCAGAATTGCTTGGACTGGTCGTCTGAGGCCTACCAGTATTGCTTTTTCGCTTAGCTATTCAGTACGGTGAGAGTGGCTTACCATCCATGAGCTGAAGATCTATTTTAGACGCCTTTGTTGGTTATGACTATTATCTTTCACATTTTATCTATATGAAACCGCTATATCCTCTTTTTTCCTTTTTTTCCTCTTTTACTTTCTCAATCTTTCTCACTTCTTCACTGAATAGTAGTCGTCATCGTCCGTCCCACAAGGTCATCTCTACGGTCGCTGTAAAATTATCGCTGCATTGACGACCTTGTTTGATCAAGCGCCCAACTCAACTCCACTAGAATAAGATGACGAGGCCAGCAAATATCTTGGAAATCTCGTGTTGAACCTTGACGAGGCCGCTCAACTTGTGACCGTAAAACTTTTCATCAAATGGTCTTTTTGTCGTGAGCTGTTTTCTCTTCTTTTTCCTTCTTAATGACATGCTGTTCCTTGACTCATCTCCACTGCTGAACCCTCAAAAGCTGTGTCTCGTGGTACAGAACCCATACATACCAGCAAACATGAAGAGAATTCCATATTGCTCATTTCATTTAACTAGGGACTGCATCAGTAACCGATAATCTCCTCCTCGGCATATTTCAGCTGTTCGAGGCATATTCACTCCTTCAGTGCGTCCCTTCAATATCCAACCCTCAACTCGATTCAATATCAACACCAAATAACACATCGTCAACTCCTTCAAATAAATGTCGAATTCTTCTACACTAACAATAACAAACCTCCTTCACTCCTCAGAAACTCCATAAATCTATCGTCTGAATATTCAATACCTCCGCACCCCCTCAAACTCACCCATCCCTCATGCACGCCCCTCCCTTGGCATGTTCTCCTCG